GAAGGGAGTGGGAGGGGAGGAGGAGGCGGAGGCGGACGCGGAGGAGAGGAGGAGGAGGAAAAAGAGAGGAGGAGGAGGAGAAGGAGGAGGAGGAGGAGGAGGAGGAGGAGGAGGAAAAAGAGAGGAGGAGGAGGGGAGGAGGAGGAGGAGGAGGAGGAGGAGGAGGAGGAGGAGGAAAGGAGGAGGAGAAGGAGGAAAAGGAGGAGAAGGAGGGGGTGGATGGTGATGCTGCTGCTGATGGTTGTGGTGATAGGGGATGGAGATGCTGGTGCTGGTGATGATGGCGATGATGTTGATGATGGTGACGATGGTGATGGTGATGGTGGTGATGATGATGTCGACGACGACTACGACGACGACGATGATGCAGATGATGATGATGATGATGATGATGATGATGATGATGATGATTATGATGATGATGACGATGATGATGATGATGACGATGATGATGATAATGACGATGATGATGATGATGATGATGATGATGATGATGATGATGATGATGATGATGAGCATGATGATGCGGATGATGATGAGGATGAGAATAAGGAAGAGGCGGAGGGAGGAGGAGTAAGGGCGGATGGTACTTATGGTGATGGTGGTAATGGTGATGGTGATGGTGGTGATGATCATGATGGTGGTAGTGATGGTAATGCTGGTGCTGGTTGCAAAGATGGTGGTGATGATGATGTTGATGATGCTGCTGATGATGCTGCTGCTGATGATGATGATGCTGATGATGATGATATGATGATGACGATGATGATGATGATTACGATGATGATGATAATGACGATGATGATGATGATGGTGATGATGATGATGATGATGATGATAATGTTGATGATGATGATAATGTTGATGATGATGCAGATGATGATGCAGATGATACGGACTAAGAGGAGGAGGAGGAGAAGGAGGAGGCAAAGACGGATGTGAGGAGGCGGACAGGAGGAGGAGGAGGAGGAGGAGGAGGAGGGGGGGTGGATGATGCTGTTGATGATGATAGTGATAGTGGTTATGGTGGTGATGATGATGATGGTGACGATGGCGATGATGATAATGACGATGGTGGTAACCATGATGAGGTTGATGATGATGATGATGAGCATGCTGATGCAGATGATGATGGTGATGGTGATGACGATGAGGAGGAGGCGGAGGAGAGGAGGCTGAGGGAGGAGGAGGAGGAGGAAGAGGAGGAGGAGGGGTGGATGATGCTGCTGATGATGGAGATGGGGATGGTGATTGCGTTGATGATGATGCTGGTGATGATGATGGTGCTGCTGATCATGGTGTCGATAGTGATGGGGATGATGATGCAGATGGTGATAATGATGATGATGATGAAAATGATGACGGTGGAGGTGTTGATGATGATGACGATGGTGGAGATGAGTATGATGATGATGCAGATGATGATGATGATGATGATGATGATGATGATGATGATGATGATGATGATGGTGGTGATGATGATGATGATGTCGATGCTGATGATGATGATGTTAATAACGATGATAATGATGCTGATGATGCTGATGGTGATGGAGATGCTGGTGTTGAGATGGGAATGATGGTGACGAGTTGGAGGAGGCGGAGGAGGCGGAGGTGGATGGAGGAGGTGGAAGAGGGGGTTGCTGATGCTGTTGATGGTGGTGATGGTGGTGATGGTGATGACGTTGATGGTTGTGATGGTGATGAATGTGGTTATGGTAATCATGATGATGATGATGATGATGATGATGATGATGATGATGATAAGCATGACGATGATGATGATGATGATGCTGTTGCTGATTATGAGTGGTAGGATGCTGATGCTGATGATGATGCAGATTATGATGGCGAAGATGATGTCGATGAGGAGAATGAGGGGGGGACGAGAGGAGGCGGAGGGAATAGGAGAAGGGGGTGGATGGTGTTGTTGCGGATGATGTTGGTAATGGTGAAGGTAATGGTCATGTTGGTGATGGTGGTGATGGAGATGATGGAGATGATGGTGATGATAGTGCTGTTGATTGTAATGCTGATGGTGGCTATGATGATAATGGTGATGCGGCTGATGATGATGATGATGATGCTGATGAGAATGAGGAGCATGAAGATGAGGATGACGATGCATGCGATGATGCAGCTGCTGGTGCAGATGCGAATGCAGATGATGATGCCAATTTGGAGGAGCAGGCGGAGGAGAGGAGGCGGGGGGGGGGGAAGAGGAGAAGGAAAGGGAGGAGGAGGAGGAGGAGGAGGAGGAGCAGGACGAGGATGAGGATGACGTGGACGATGTATATGGTGATGATGGTGAAGGTGGTGATGACGATGGTGGTGATGGTGATGATAGTGAGTATGGTGATGGTGATGGTGATGATGATGGTGGTGATGATGGTGATGATGATGATCGTGGTGATAAGCCGATGCTGATGAGGATGATGATGCTGACGATGATGCAGATGGCGGTTCAAATGGCGATGCCGATGAGAAGGAGGAGGCGGAGGAGGCAGAGGAGAGGAGGCGTAGGGAGGAAGAGGAGGGGTGGATGATGCGATGATGGTGATGATGGTTGTGATGGTGACGTTGGCGGTTATGATGATGGTGGTGATGGTGATGGTGATGGTGATTGTGATGATGGTAATGGTAACGCTAATGATGATGATGGTGATGGTGGTGATGGTGGTGATGAGTTTGATGGTGATGATGATGCTGGTAATGCAGATGGTGATGCGGAGGGAGGAGGAGGACGAGGAGGAGGACGAGGAGGAGGGGGGGAGGAGGAGGAGGAGTCTGTCTGTCTTACCCATTCGAGCTCCACAAGTCTGAACTGCTGACTACTCGCTCTGGGCCACGGCTCTTCCCGCCAGATCTCTCTCTTTGGGGGTGCTCACGCTCCCGAGAGGCCCTGAAAAGGTGAAAACAACGCTGCGGACAGGGGCCTACTGGGCCCTAAAAATGTCCAGAGGGGCTCTCGAAAGCGGTGGAGCGGCACCCAGCACTTCGCTGGAATGCTCCACGCGGGGCGGGCATTGGCTGAGAAGCCTTGCTCCCTCAGCTTACCCCAAGCACGACGGGGACACAAAGGCCACTCCCATCGTGCAAGGGCGGCTGAAAATCACAAGGTGTCGCAACCCCTACAGGCGACTTGCAATTCTTTACAAGACGCACTAACTTTCCACGGGGGGCCCGACCTGGCTTATTGTTGAAACCAGAAGCCCGAAATAGCTGATACAAAATCTGCTCGCAAGTCACTACTTTACCTCCTCCTTCTCCTCCTCCTAAGATCATCTCCAGCGGACTGCGCAGGACGAGGGCGGCGGCCTTGTCCTTTTGCTCCTTTTCCGCGGCCCCGTCCTCGAGCGTGGCCCAGCTCTCCCTCTGCTGGTTGAGGAGGTTGACGGCCGAGGGCTCGGGGTCTTGGATCAGCATAGATCCCAACACTTTCACCGTGATCCGACCGATGCCGCTGTCCTGGGTGTTCGACGTGCCGCACTCCTTGATCCACATGCTGGCCATCGGCATGCCGGCCTTGTTCCTCATCAACATCATTCTCTCTGGGATGTCTTTGAGATGACGAACTGACTCCTGAGATGGCCCCTGCTTGTCGAGCCATCCGCTGAAAGCGCTCAGAAGCGCGGCAAAACTCTGCAACTCTGGAGGCCCTAGTCCGTGCGTGTTCGCCTTCCCTTCCACCCGTTTCTGATACTCCTGATTGGTCGCCTTCAACAGTCCGATCTTCTCGTCGTCGCTGGGTCCGTACACTACGAGACCTGCTCCGAACTCCAGCGTCCGAATGCGTGACTCCAATTGGCGTAGCAACTTGGCATTGGCGTGGTTGTCGTCGTTCTCGGACTTGCCCTTCTTCGAGCCTTCCACTCTGTCGGTCCCGCCGCCCGCTGTGTTCCGCTTGAGAGCGCTGGGAAGAAGCGCACTCGCCATAATTACCTAGTGCCTCTTGGAGGCCAGGTAGTTCAAACTCCAGAACATGTGAGTGTAGGTGTGTCTGCAAATGCTCGACCAGTAGATGTCTACGGAGATCAGCGTTGTCGAGTCCAACATACTCGCAAGTCGGGCAATCGTAAGCTTTTGGAAGGATGATCGTGCCATCTGTTCTCCCCCGATCTGTGTGACATATACCTTTCAGCATACTATTGTGCATGTGCCTCTTAGCGTAGTCGATAGACGAGAAATTCGAACCACAAATAACACACTGGCTTGAAATACAACACATTCTACCCAAGAGCTGCTTACCGTGTGTGCCCCCCTTGGCCCTGAGGTAGTGCGCAGCTAGCTGCTTTTTGGACTGGAACCGCTCCCCACAAACTTCCCCGTCGTCTTTTAGTGCCGTGCATTTGTGAGGCCCTCCTTTTTCTATCTCCTCCTGTTTGCGCTCGTGCAGTGCGATGTTCAGGAAATAGTGTGCTTTGATACCTCCTACATCCAATTGCGTGGAATCCTTCTTCCCCTCGAATATGAGCTCCTCCACTCCATAGATCTCTAGCAGCCTCGCACCATCGTCGAAAAGCTCTATGGTTTGAATGTCATCGTACAGCTGCTCACACCACGGATTCGCTCTCTCGTCCTCGCTCGTGTACTTGTCGATTTCGGTTCGGTCGTCGACCCGAGAGCGCCCGAAAACCACCGCCAGGAACTGAGCGAATCGGTCGTGTTTCCGAAGGCACTGTTGAAGCCATCTGAGCCGTCGTACTCGCATTTCAACGTGGGGAGCTGCTAGCCTTACTCGGGCTAAGACCTGGAGGTTGGAGAGGGTGCGGATGGTACCGTCTTCTTTATCCTGTGCAACACCCCGCAGCAATATCTTTGCACGCATTGCGAGGAAGCTGAGAATGGGCTGCCAGTCGTGTGCTCGCATCGGCCCTGTCTTGGCGCAGAGCACTTCTGCTTCACTGTAGCATGCATTCGCCACGTAGCCCTTGAGTAAATTGATCTTCCAGCCAAACGGTACATTGCTGTTCCAGAAACGTCCAAGATTGTACCATGCC